CATCAAATCTGTACAATGCGAAAGAAAACTCCCTAAAATCCACCTTGAAAGCACAGCAAGGACAGAAAACAGTGCAAACTTCATCCATCAAAAGCAGCTCAGCAGAAACATGCAACCCAGCAGCAAAGGTATCACAAGCACAAAGCAGAAGCAATGACCATCCGAATCAACCAAGGAGAAGGCAGAGAAAAACCCAGACAGTCACACACAATCACATCATTAAAAAGAGAACACCCTTAAATCCACCATGTTAAAGCCTAAAAAAGTCAAAAATCAAATAGCAGCCAACCATCATGAATGGCTCAGCAGAGACAATCAAACAACCAAAAAACATAAGGATCACAGCAAGAAAAAAAATGCAATGACCAACCAAAGCAAAGCCAACATTCCCGATCGCTTAACAAACAATTGCAAGCACAGAACAACCCTTGGAATTGAAAGATCGAAAGGAAAGAAAGCAGACAGAACGAACAAAGAGCAACACAGCAATCAATGCAGCAAAGGCCAAATCCAAAGACATGTCATCAGAAAATCAGAAACCCTGCCAACACTTTCCTTTGCCAACTTATCTGTGAAACTGTTACCAGTTCTAGACTAGTGAACAATTAACCAATTGCTCACCTAAGGCACCCATAAAATTGCAAAATAGCCACACAGCTCAGGCATTAATAAGGACATAAAAACCTATGAAGTATAGGTTGAACTACGTCTAATAATAGCTATGATAGTGAATAAAACCTTTGTGATCAGGCATTACAATTGGGAGATATGGTCGGGATTTGATGTGACGATGATTACAAACTGACATCACAGAGCATTGGCGATATAAATAAGAATTATACATGGAAGCAGAAAGAAACAAAAACAAAAAACCAAGTGAGGGAGTGCAAAGAACAATTAGAGAATAAGAAAGTAATTACGTAAATTAGCATTGCACAAGAGCCATTTATCTCATAAGAGTTGGGGTTTTCTAAGGCTGGAAACCCATATTTTTCTGCCTCTCCTTTTCTTTTTCCCAACTCATGAGTAAATCTTAAACGAAAGGGCAAGATCCTAAATAAAAACTACATTACATACCAAAAATTTCCATAATACAATTCTCATTTACTCCTCAAGGTCTCGGACAAGAAGTAATGATTCAGACTAACAGCCCATTTTTTATTTTATCATACTAATCGGTGCTAAAATACTGCATTGTCAACATGCCAAAGACTTGGATTAAGGCTTAGGCTTAATAGATTACTTAATTAATTTACTGAAAACACAAGAAGCATTCAAATTAACATCTGTACTGAATATTCTGACATAACCTCACAAAGAAAATCCTAATATGAAATAGAAAAGTATTATATAATTAATTTATTTATTTCTAATTAAAAGAATGCAGAAAAAGTAACCTTCAATGACCATATCAAACACCTTCTCTTCAAAGGTGAAAACAATGTCAAAGGAACCATCAGCAGCATTGTCTTGCCAACGTTGGGGTGCCAATTTCACGCTTGAGTTCCTTTTAAGCATCGGCAATATCCCATTACGCTTGTACCTGAAAGAAAAAAAAAGAAACAAACCCATTTTCATTAAGGGTTCAATTTTATTAAGAAAAGGCATTAGTATTTAAAAAAAAAATCGGTCGTAAAATTCGCGAAAAAAAGAGAAGATTACAGCTCGGGGTCTTTACGGCGGAGGTCATCCAGCATGTGCTTGTAAGGGGTCCCAAACTCGTAGACGTTGGGTTCTCTAAGGGAGGGTCCAGGAAGTTTGACGTGAGCCCCCGTTCCGTAGGAGGAGACGTCGAACCCCTGCTTCTTCAGGAGCGAGTGGGCCTCCATGCTCCGGTTCTGGTTCGATGAACAAACCATGGCGTACCGGAATTTCATGTCCGCTCTAATTAAATAGTACTACTATTCAATTTCACGACTGGATATGGAGGTAAGCACAACACTCGCTGCCTCAACGCCTGAACCCGCCAGGGTATATGTTTCAAAGCCGGACAAAGAAGAACTAGACCAGTTTTGTTTAATGTTGAGGGTATTTAGGTACTTTTACATTTTTGATGTCACTTCCAAGATACCGGTGGTAGATCACTAACTGCACGTATCGTCCGTGAAATGTAATACAATGAAATAGAATAATTATTCTATAACGATAGAATATGGGATAAATAAAATAAAATAAAATAAAAATTATTATTATAATTTATTTTAATATTTGATTAGTAAGAATAATTTTAAAATAACTAAAGAATCAATGATACACTGATAAAATTACTTTTTATTATAATATTCAAATTAAATTTTATCAAAAGATGAAAATATATATACCAAAAGATAAAATATCCTTAATTATACTATAATAAAATATTTATACCAAAAGATTAAATTAGCCTTATTATAATTTAATCACATATTTATAAAAAAATTATCTTTGAATATATTTTAATAATATTTTCATAAGAATATAAAATAAAAATATTCTATATATATTTGCTATCCAAAATTTTCAACACTTGAATTATGGGTTATAGTTTTTTTTTTGAAATTTGGTTTGTATTCATAAATAAGAATTACAAAAGCTACTTAAGAGTTATTGGGGATAGACACCATTTTTCTTGGTGCCCAATGACAACAACAATTTCAACATAACTAGATCTGATTTTTTTTTAAAAAGATAATGCATTCAATTGAGTAAATACCTCATACATTCAAGATTCAACAATAACTATACCTTTGGTTAGCGGAATAGATAGATATGGAATAAAATAATTATTTTATGAAAATAGAATAAAATAAAATAAGTATTAATTAGTTTGGTATGATGAATGAAATAGAGTAAGAATAGTTATTATGATTTATTACAGTACTTGATTAGTAAAAATAATTTTAAAATAAGAGAAGAATATAAGATAAAAATACCCCATATTATTTATATTATAATTTATTTTTATTTTTTAAAAAAATTAATATTTTAATTATAATTTAATCATTAATATTATAAAACATTAATATATTATTTATAATTTAAATATTGTTATGATTATTTATTTTTATTTTATTTTATTTTAAATATTAATATTTTATAATTTATTTAAAATATTAATATTTTGATCATTTAAATGTTAATATTTTATTTATAATTTAATCATTGAAATTTTAAAATATTAATATTTTATTTATAAATTAACTATAATTATGATTAAAGTTTTAATACTTTTAATTAATTTTAAACTCAAAATATTTTTTAATGTATAATTGAAAACTTAAACTCATTACTATAATAAGATTTATTTTCATCAAAAACAAAAATACTCTTTATATAATTTAGTAAAATTTATACCAAAAGATAAAATTAAGTAAATTTTTTCTTTTTTAATAATTTAATTTTTATTAAAATTAAAATTAAAATTTTGAATAATTTAATAACTTTTTATTAAGTTTTGGTATAATTTTTTATTTTTTATTTTTTTTTATTTTGTAAATTTTAATTTATATTTTCACTTAAAAATTTTAAAATTAATATTTTTAAAATATTAATATTTTATTTATAATTAAAATATTATTTTTTTAATGTAAAACATTAATTTTGTAAGTTTAGGTTTGTAATTTTTCAAAAAAGGTAAGGACATTTTAATCTAAAATGTTTTGAGTTCTATTCCCATGGGCAATGAATAGCTAATACCATGGGGAGAGAGAGGTGGTATTAGCTACTTCAAAGTTTAGGCTGATTTTGAAAGGAATAGCTATTCCTTCCTCCATAAATATAACAAACATAGGGAGAAAATGTTTGGGGAAATAGAGGGGGAATGGCTATGAGTTCTTCAAGTTCAAGAGGCTTCTACAATAACTCATAAAAGAGCAACAATAATGAATGATATATAAAAAAAAAAAAAACTGATGGGATGAGACTTATAGCCACTATTGGTTCATCAAATCAAAATTATAATGCAACAACAGTCTAATATTATATCTATCCCTGGACTATGAATCAAACTCTATGCTTTGCTATCCATCACTTACTTATGATTTATGCTACGATCATCCATGGCTGCAAATAGATTCACATAAACAGCTCTTTATTAATAGATTATCCAGGTATTAAAATTTGCAACAATTTCATCAATCTTGGCATGGGAGCCTACAAAAAGCAATCAACTATAAACTATTACATGTTAATGGGCATGCCCATTAGGAAGAGGTCTTCATCATCACTCTGCTCAGGAGAACCACTGGAGGAATTATTACACGTTTTCTCTATTTCCTTTGTGAAAATCTCCTCAGAGTGGCAGTCAAAACTGCAAAATGCCTTTTCACCTCTGTACATGTAAATAAGTAGTAAGTTTTATAACCAAAATATGAAGAAAGAAACAAGTACCTGAACCAAGAAACACAGCTACAAAATAAGAAATTTTGCTACCAAAACCCAAGAAAAACAAATCACAAAAATAATATGTAAAATACCAAACAAATAATCTTAGTACATAAAAGAGACAATCGGAAAAGTATTTCACGCCAGAGGCAACAAAAGGCAAAAGCAAGAAAGGTGGTGGCAGTGGCGGCAGCAGCAGAACGGTGAAAGAGAGGGAAAGGCGGATAAGGAAGAAAGGAGAGAAGAAAAGAAATAGGCTTATATATGGGCAGGGTTGTAATTATTTCTAATAAACAGAGATGTTTTTATCCATGGAAATTTTTAACGTATTCCATACAGTAAAATGTAACCAAACATGAGTTTTACTATTTTGAAGGAATAAGAGGAGAATGGCTTAACCATTCAAACAAGTCGTAAATGATTCGGTCGCAAAACCTTTTTAACTATATTTATTGTAATATTATAAAATTATAAATTAATTTAAAACTATTGTGTTTATATTGCATAAAAAATTAAGATCGTCAAATACAAAATACTCATTTAAGTCTGAGCAAAAAAAAAATACTCATTTAATAAAAAGATTTTTAAAAAAAGATTTTAACTTTTTTTATGAAATATGTTAGGTAAAAAACCCTCACCTCCTAATGTTTAGGCATAATTCCATGTAGGTCCATTAGTATTAAAAATGAACAATCTGCTCTAAAAGTCAAAATGTCATTAATAAAAAGTGTAAAATGTCAAAATTGCCTATAAACAAATTTTAATCATGTGTTAATGTTTGCTAATCACTATTATTCTTTTCTCTCCTCGTTCTCATTTTTTCTCCTCTAGTTTTTTCATCAATCATTGTATACATGATCAATTAGGAGTTTTTTTAAACCTTCTACTCCGATTAGCAACTTCATCCTATAGCAAAATAACCTAAATCAAACCCTTGTTTAGAACCTTTAAATAGTAACCCAAGTCAAGAGATTGAATGATTAGGGTTCATCAATTGTCAAACAATGGTATGTTTTGCTGTTGTGTCAAGTTTTGTTTTGTGGTTTAGGGATGTTGTTTTTGTTGATGTGGTCCATGTGCGAAAACGAGTTTTGTCGTTTAGGGTTGTTTTTTGTTAATGTGATCTTCATGTGAGGGAATGGGTTTTATGGTTTATGGTTGTTCGTTTGTTGTTGATGTGGTAAAGGTTCAGTAACGGGTTTGGATCAGGGTGTGGGTTGAGGGTTGGGTTCTAACCCAAACCTAGAACCTTAAAGCCAACCCAAACCCCAACCCTAACAAGTAACCCGAAAACCCCAATTTCTAGAACCCTAACCCCAACACTATCACTAAATCCTCAATTTCCAAAACCTTAATCTTAAAGCCTTAAATTGAGGAATTAGGGTTAGGATTCTAAAATTCCAAAACCTTAAATCTTTAATTCCAGAACCTTAACCTTAATTTTTTTTTTAAGCTAAAAATTCTCGTAGGGAAAGCAACCCTATTAAAGTTTTATTGATAAAATAAATAAAAATGTACAAATAGGAAGAGGACATAAACCTTACCTTCGAGTTTACATGAGTACAAAATAAAAGTAAGTAAGATCCTAAAGAAGGTTTTACTTTACATGCATAATTTTGGATGCTATAATAAGGATAAAAGCCCCTTTTTACAAGATTCTATGAATAAAGAGAAATAACAATAAAAGTAAATTAGGAGTACTACTCCGTTACATTTATTTAAAATGAACATCAAGTAGATTGAGTTTATCTAATTTTAATATGCCACATAACTTGTCTTGAGCTTGAGTAAATACCTGCAGATTTTAGTGTTGATGACGCTGATTCGACAAAAAATCTGTAACCTGATTACTTTCCCTGTAAATATGTGAAATTCTATAGGAAATATTTTTCAAACATTTGCTTATAGACTCCAACAAATAACAAATTTCATGAGACCCTTTTTTATCCTCCTGCAACATGTTAATGACTACCAAAACATCCATCTCAATCCAGACTTTAGAAATACTGCAAACTTTGCATAAAAGTAAGCTTTTATGTAAAGCCAATAATTTCACATTTAGAGAATGAGTGGGACTAAGATTCTCAAAAAATCCAAAACTATGCATACCTGTATGATATCGAAGAACTTCCCCCGCTCGTTGTATTTTGAAAATTGTTCTTGGAGCTACCCGTGACGTTTAACTTGAATTCACCTATCACGGTTTTACCCACCTAATAATTTGGGGTAGCAAAGGTTGTGTTTTTGGGTATTCAAAACCCCATAATCTAGCTATTTAGGTATCTCTATTCCATTACCATTGTTTTAGAAGGTTCCCTTGGTGCAACTGTTTTAGTAATTTCATGATACGCCATATTATTTTATCAGCATACATACCCAGATTCTTATATTTTGCATCATTTCTTTCAAACCATAGGAACCAACAAATAAAAAGAGGCAGTAATACATGAATATGACCTTGTTTAATACAGTCTCCTGAATGGTACCATGAATAGATAACTTGTATAATATTCAAAGGATTAATAATATAGATTTGAAAGAATTTACAAAATAATTCCAAACTTATTTAGCCATTGGGCTATCCCAAATCATGTGTAACAATGATTCCTTTAAATTAAAGCAAAGGCATTTA